CAGGCGACCCTACTCCTTGTCACGTACATCCGAGGAATCGAAACCACGCAAGTTAACTGAATGACAGACTTTATGATACAGCGCACACGTGCTAACCATTCAGCCATCCAACCCCCCTAAAAGCAAACAAAAATGAAGTATTGATATTAAATGTTATTAAATAGATTATTGCTAAACCATTACTGTTGAAGAAATTACATGTAATGATCATTGGACCCCATTGGAAATAAGCAACGGATGTTATATACGTCAGGCTTTATGGGCTATCCTAAGTAAAGGTCTCTTCATGACACCATAGCTATCATATTTCTCTATGCTTGTCTCATATGGCATCCCACATTACAATGTAGCACATAGTTCTTATTTTCATATACATGTACATATCTGTATTTATTGTTGTCACTTTCCCAGTCACTTTCCCAGTCGTGTAATGCGACACTACATGTAGTTCTTATTATAATACATTAATTTATTGTCATGTTGTAACCTTTACTTGAAGAATAAATAAATAATAAATAAATAAATAAAAGGGTTATTGCTGTTTTGACTACATATGATTTATGGATTAGAAGATGTAAATAATGGCCCACTTTTAAAGTCATTGACATACATTCTGATGTGTTTTGGTCTACATATTTAACCATTGATATATACATAAAAACTATGATTTATATCATTCACATTCCTTTTGTAGTAACCTATTTTTTTGGTTGATAACTCTCTTCATTACAAATTTATTACTTGCCTAACCTTGAGTTTTCTCAGGTTTCTCCACATAAAGAAATTATAGAATTTGGATGGATGTATTACATCCTCATCCTGGGATGTGGGGGTGGCCCGATGGTCTAATGCATGCATTTTAGCTTACAAGGTCTGTCATTTCAATTCCCAGCTTGTACACGACAAGGGGTAGAGTCGCCTGCCTCACCTCATGAACTATCACTGTGTCCTCCAATTACCCTTTCACTACTAAGAAGAGCCTTACATGTAAGCAAATTATTGAAATAAAATTGATTTATATTTTTTTAGTTTTGATATGATCTATTTTGTTTCAAGTGGATGTTAAACCCCCTTTGTCTCTGCTGAAATGATTGAAAAACTTAATTTAAAAAATCTAAAAAAAAGTTACCAAACATGATATCTAATTTTCCTGGAAAGTGGGATAGTTTTGCTAATTTTGTGTCAGGGTAATAATTTGTCCTTAAAATGAGGGTAAAATGAATAACATTCGAGAGAGAGAAGGTTGATTGAAGTGTATTTGTACTAATGGGTGCCATATTAGTATAACATCTTTTAATGTGCAATTCAATATAAGATTGGCTAGGAAGTTTGTGTAATTTGTCAGTATATTAATAAAACGTAGCAAATATTAGGGGAAGTATCAAGCTTTTGATGAAGTAATAAGAGTTGCTCTTCTATTTTACGCTATGTACAGTGGAATTTCACTGTAGCACGGTTGCAATAACACATGTTGTAAAATGGGGCAGTTCATGGCTCACATTTGAATCCTATTTAACTGCCTTGATTGACTGGCAGGGAAATTGACTGACTGACAATTTATGTGATATAAAATTTGAATTTGCAAGAATTTCACCTGAATACACTATAAAATACAGTTAAATTTATAGTTTTTATGTGTTAAAATACTTGAAACTTAATTTATAAATTTCAACTAAAAAAGGCATTACATGATAGGCTACATCTTGATAGGAAACCTGCTATAACATGGTGTGGTCAGTGGGCCCTAATAATTACAGTGTTGTAGTGGAACCTCAGTGTTCTAGACTGCTGGCCATTTCACTATACATTTATTTCTGTTTTAAAAATATTTCGGAATGTGTTTTCTCTACACTGTGGTTTATTCTATCTGTGTTCTGTTGTGCAGTTCTCCAGCACAGTCCATTCATTCATATGAATAAGGATTATTCCAGACTTCTTAATGAGTTCACCATGATTTCAAATACCCTGCATATGTTTACACAGATTCTGATCCAAAAAAGGACTAGATTGTATTAGTCATCTTGACAAACAATTAACAAAGACGCCAAGACTCAAACAAATAATTAGAACCGATTGATTCTCTTTGTGTAAAACTATAGATAATTTTAAAGGGAAGCTAACAGGAAAAATTCACAACTACACACACAGCATCATGGACAATAAAATTTGAAAAAAAAAAAAAAAAAAAAAAAAATAATACCCAAATTTTCAGATGAATGTTTTCAAGCTCGTAGCTACATGAACCAATCAAAGTACTTTTAAACTGACTACAAATGAGAGGGCCCATTATATTTGAAAAATTGATACGAATTGGGATTGAAGTGTTGAATATAATGATTGTTGGCCATCTCCTATATAATATTTAACAATTTTGTTTAATTTATATATATTAAAGAGTTGAAATCATCTTTAAATTAACAATAGAGGGTTTTTAAAATGGGGGGGTTTGCAATTAGTGATAGTAATAGATGAAGCGTGTTTAAAATGAGGCTATTGTGTTATAAACTAGGTTTGAGTGACTCTATCAGATGAGTCAGGACATCTTTCACAAAGTAGAGTTTTCTATAATCCATTGTTCATGATGATAACAATAAACTGCATGTTCACTACAAGTTGGCAACACCCCCTTAAGATAATAACTAGCTTTGATTATCCAGTACATACTTAGTGCAGGACATGTATTGTCATAAGGTATTTAGAAATATATTTTTTTAGCCTTTTTATTTTATATATGATTTAGAAATCAATAAGATATTTCTTCAAACAAGATGTTTTAATTGAAGTTCCTAAAGAAATGTCTTGTGTGGATATATTATAATTCTACACAAAATCATTAGATTCAGTTATTCTCTGGATAATTGAGCCTACTATTCAATTGTCTGATTCATTATCACCATAGACCTGATTATCTATGACTTATTTTATTGTCATGAAAAACTTGCCTGGATGATCAAGAATAATCTTTACACTAAAAGACATCTGGCCCAAGCATCTGCCGTATATTGTGAATCGCTTTATGATAGAGAAAGCCAGTGACAGTGTTCTGTTTTGTGTGTCACAAAGTTTATGTTTTTTCTTGTTTTATAAATCTTGCATATCTCATCGACAACGCATAGTTTTATGATAAAGAAAAGTTTGTTTTCCATAAACACAAGTGTTAAAATATTTTATCATTTTAGAAATATTGCATAAGCTTATAGATTTTCTTACAGAAGACAAATTGTGTGACTTTTCTGAATTTGGTAATTAATTTACGGTAAGAGAATATTTTAAATTTATTTTTGGGTCCTATACTGAAGACAATAATGTGAGACATTTGTTGTACATTTTTCTTCTCCAGTGTATCATTCATTACTGGGTGTTCAGATTTCTTGAGTTCCTTTTTTTGATCAAGTTTGTAATAGATGAATAGTTTGTTAAATTTATTATGCTATTGGACACTTCAGTGGTTAGAGTACAATATTAATGTAATATATAATGTTCATTGTTTGGCCTTTAGAGTTGCCCTGTGACTGTTGTTTCAACACCAAGGCCACAGTACTACTTTATAGGAGTCATTTCATCACCTGATAAAATATGTTTTGGCCTGTGATGGTCTTAAATGTAAGACATGGTTCAGTCCAATAGACATGGTGTTGCTTGAAAAGTGCATGGTGAGGCACTACAAAAATAGGCTGTGGGAAACCCTACTAGACAATATTCAGTCATTTTCCTACCTTATTATATTTTAGAGATTTGTTCTTGTTACATTAAATTTACCTTGCACCATCCATCCTACAGATTCAACACACTACCAGAGAAAAGATCAAAGGTAGAAACATGCAATTTTAGACATAATGGCCAACAGCACTTCCATATCCCACCTTGTCAAAAAGTTTAAGATTTGTCAGGTCTTAAGAGGTAAAGACATTATGTATGGTTTTAGTCGTAGCTGACAAAAAGTCAGGCACTTCTGAGATACTGACACTTTTATTTTATTAAACTTTGTGCCAGATATGTATTTATATATAGATACTGTATCAATAAAAACGCACAATGAAATACAAATCGATGCAGAAGAGATTTTATTTAACTAATGTTTCAAAATTTGTCACTTTAAGTTATCATAATTTCTCAAACCATGTTTGACAGATCATTGTTTGATAAATGAGTGTATTATTATGGTATCCTTGTATTGATATCAATGTTTGTTATGTCATAAATTCTTTTCAGAAAGGTCAAACAATTGATATTAACTGGCAGTTAAGTGACAATTTCTGGGGAAAGATACAATCACAGATTGGATGTCATGCACAAGTTTCATTGAGTGATAGTCTTAATTTGTTGATGAAATTTGCATTTAACAATAGAAATTGGTGTATGTATGGGACCCTATTTAATAGGAAGGGTCAGGGATGTAAAATGTTTGCCAGTCTGTACTGACATGGAAATCTCTTATTAGTCTTTCTTGACCTCAAGCCTAATAATATGAGTGATATCTTATTGAAATATGTTTGGTTTAAATATATTTTATAAACCATGAATAAGTAATGCCTTAATACCATCATATGAGTGAAATGTTTGGCGCCTAATTACCCCCAAATTCTCTTGAATTGTTCACCAAGTTACCTTTTATTTTATCTTATCCTTTGTTTTCTTTTCTAGTTAAAATAAAATCTATTTGTTTTAGAATTAATTCATCATAAAGCTCTTCCATTTTTGAAGAGTGATTGATGGCCACTGAAATTTCTTTTTTTATTGGTTTATTTTATTTTCATTTTTTCTGTCATAATCATATGACTGATAGTTTTGGCTTTTACTCATTTGTAGTGAATAACTGGGATTGTGGGAATGTTTACCTCTGATGATTTACAATTTTCCTAAGTAAATTGACTAACAAAGTATTAATGTTCATGTAATATGCCTAAAACATGTGCAAATTCATTAAGCAACAGTCTATTCAATGGTTTTCATTATTAAATAAAGAAAATTAAATTTTATTGACTTATGTCTTACCTTACCAGAGAGAAAGATCTAGGCTTAAAATTCATTTTTTCAACCATTTTGAAAATGTGTAGATTTCTTTCCTGTTTAAAGTGTCAATCAAATCAAATGTCGTCTGCTGAACAATCTGAGCAAAAACCATTTTCCTAGTCAGCTTAACAAAAAGAGTAATCAACTTTTTATTATGTACCCTATTTTTGAACAAAACCAGAAAATCTTCAGGGACATCTACCCTGATGAAGGGTTGGACATCCTAGATAAGAATTTGTGGGTAAGTTGAGAACAGTACCTTCTGAAGGTACTAAGCTTAATGGAGTTGTCTCCCTTTCAATAGCCCATTGCACATAATGTCCAGCTACATTTTCCCCTTGTTTATAATTCAAACTAATACTAAGTTAAAGATGCAATGTGAGCAGCTAAAGTGTTTAAAAATTTAGGAAATTTATTTACTTTGCTAATAATTATTTCCATGTCCCAAAAGAAAGGAAAATTATTCATTCACATAAAGAAACATCTGTCATCTCTGAAAATTCTCAACTTTTGACTTTGTGAATTAAGAAAATAAAGAAATTGTATTTACAATAACGCAGTGGATATTCAGCCGTCCGACGGTTCTTGACTTTATTTACTATTTAGCCGTCACTTCCGTTTGACATGCGCAGTTGTCTGATTCCTGGACTAGTGGTTTTCGCTTTGGCAATGATGCTGGCTATTTCAACTCGTGGCCTGTTTTACCGTCTGACATTAATTACCGTCTCACGACAAATTTTATATTATCCTAACCCTAACCCTGCTCGAAAAGAGAAGAGTCAAATTCGCTTCCAATTACGCCCAAAACATCATTTTAGTAAACGCACTAGCCGTCAACATCTTCTTCGGTCGCCATATTTAATCACGCGATAAGGGTGTGAGATCTTGCGAGAATCGGACAACTGTGCATGTCGAACGGAGATACGGCTAAATAGTAAATAAAGTAAGGAACCGTTGGACGGCAAAATATACACTATGTTACAATAATCAAATTGGTAGGAATATAAGAGAAACATAAATCTACAGGGAAATTAAATTTTTAAGTTATTAAGAGTATTTTGAAATTGTTTAGGAAATTGCATTGAACAAAAGACTCCTTGGGCATATCATTTCTGAAAAAAAGGAAACAAAATTATTTCCATTTGACACTAATAAAAGGGCACAATTTGATTGACCATATTTGCTGTAAGGTGGAGATAACTATCAGCATGTGAACAGATCATATTTCTTGAGAAATGTTGAAAACAATTTTCTTCTAGAAATGTTATCTTATCAATCCATAGGCAGGAATTTATTAAAAGGTTAGAAAAATGTTACTTGAAGTTGATATGATATGCTTATCGAAATACAGAAAAAGAGAGGATGATTATTTATTTCTGGAAACATATTCCTATATTTGATTAAATATGTTCTTTGTAAACATGTTTGCTTCTCTGCACTTACCTTACATCAATTTCTGGCAGTGCTGCTTTTACATTTCTGGCAGTACTGTTTCTTTGACATGACCAATTTGTATAGACAACTGTCGACAATAGTTAATAACATGGCTATAAATTTCATATTTTGACAAATAAATTTGAGATGGTCAATCTGGAAATAAAAAGAATTAATATGTTAAATGAACACAGACATTTAATGCAGGTTTAGATTATTTTCCAATTTGTTTTTTTGTAATTTAAATGTTCCTTTACACAATTACTTCACTGTTCACAATTACATCACTTTCACTATTCACAATTACTTCACTGTTAAGAACCAGGTTTAAAAAGTTTTTGAAGATTGACCTTGACTTGTTTTTAGATTGTAGCTTTCTCACTCTTACACAAACAGATGTAAAATTAAATGAATAAATATAAGTTTTGCAGATTTGACTTCATAAGATTAATAATGAAATGGGATATTTTTGTTCCAATAGGGAATCTAATCTTCAGTCATTTCAGTGGAATAATGTATGTCAAGTCAACTCTAATAAACAAAGCATGTAGTTTGATCCACTGTGAAACTATTGTTAAATATGTGCCTACTATATTAACTGTTTTCTATGCACCTCTTTCCTTGGTGTGTCCCCTTTCATAAGTCTTGTATATCTATTGGGGGGGGGGGGAGGGGGCGGCTGAATGGTTAACGCGTATGTGTATTGGATCTTAAGGTCTGTCATTGAGTCAAGTGGCGTGGTTTCAGTTCCCTGATTATACATGACAAGGAATGGGGTCGCCTGTCCAACCTCATGGGTTTTCTCCAGGTCCTCTGTTTTCTCCCACTACTGAAGACCCCTACGTGCAAGCGAATTATTGAAATATTTATTAAGGGCCTACTTCAGTTTGAATAATAGCTAGTTAGTCTCAGATGATCTACTAGAATCTACACAGAAAAGACAAGTTGATAAAGATTGTTCATACACTAGCTAGAACAAATTGTTTTTAGATTTGTGTAGCCTTTCAGGATTCTAGGTTCTGCACTTCATTCCAATCAGTTCACAGGGTCAAGGCAACCTGTTCTAAGAAAATGCAATGGTAAATATATAGTCACAAACATGGTGGCCTGATGAGAAAAACATCAGTTATATCCACATGCATTATCCAGATGTCTTGGAATAAGACTTTTTCCTTAGAATAATTGAAATAAATTTTAAGATGGTGAATTATCTTAAAATTGTTCATTCCTGATGCATTATGTTTGAAGTATATATTTAATTCAAAGTTTCATTCCAAGCATTTACTTTTGTACTTGTAATAATATCAGCACATGGCTTAGAACTAATAATCCCTAAGGCTACAAGAGCATGAAACATTCGAATATTAAATTTTTGAAAGTGACATTTTTTTCACCAAGGTTGTAATAGTGCTGAAAAAACGAGTTTATAAATGAAGGTAGCAGACGATCAGCATAATGATTTCAAACAGTAGCAACCTGGGAATCGGATGTATGTCATGAAAGAATGAAAGAAGTTTGGTACACTTAGCCTTCTAGAATACAGCCAATATGGCTGGTGTCAGGGGTATCACATTACACAAATGGTTCCTATCAAAACTTGCAGTTGCACTTCTAACCAATCAAATTGGGGAATGGTATGAACTTTAACCTTTGATCCCATGAAGTTAATTTACAGCAGATAATGCCTCGTGTAGTGTTCCACGTTCCAAGCTGACAAGTCTTAGCCTAGTTTTCAAGACACTACATTTACAGTATACCGCCATTTTGTATATTGCTTTCAATCCGTCCAGAAGTTCAGAAACTAAAGTTTTACAGAAACGTTTTATTTTGTTGAAGTTTTATCATAATCCATGATGTGGCCATCACCTCTAACAGCTAATCATTTGGTAAATATTTTAAATATATTTTTTCTTTGAGATAATATCTCATGTTATGTTTTAGGTTAGGTAGGAAATAGTTTGGAAACATGTATTTCAGACATAGTTCTTTCAGCCATTTAGTTACCCTACAGCATTTGGGAGTTAAAACTGACACAAGTTTTAGCAGTACATCATTATTATAATGATCTTTAATTTCAACTTAAAATATAACTTCAAGATACTTTAAAATAGTATTATGGATAGATTACTGGGGCCAGTTAATGGTAGTTTGGGTTGTCTTTGGGAAATCTGATAAAAGTGATAATGGCTTTTTCTCATTTGGGGGGATTTTTTTTTTTTATTTGTTTATTTTTAATTTTTAAACTTTGATAACATTTAGTTATATTTAAATTAATCTTTCAGTACAAAAGTAAGCCAAATAATGAATCATTTAGGATCCTAGAAATGAATTAACACTGTATATGAAATGTTGGCACTGTCGATGTCTATGATTGATTACCTACAGGTAGACCTTAAGTGTGTCCAAAATTTTCTGCAGCCTCTTCTGGTCATTGCAAAGTTTATATCATAAACACCAAAATAATTTCCATGTTTTACAGTTTTGACTGAACTCACATAATTCACTGGATTACAAAACCAATTATGAAAAAGTAATCATCAGGAATTGACATGCTATTAATTAAATGCTATTCATTTTATTTGCGATAAGAAGCATCCATGCCATTAAATTACCTTTATGAGGGAAGAGTGCTGCTGTATAACTGTAAAATGGCTGAGTTATGAGGCAGTCTTTTAGTCCCCTGGGAGATTAGATCTTATTTAATGTTTATCAATGGTTATTCTGGTATCTAAATTCAGCAAGCTATAAACTTACAGATGTCTGGATCTTCTCTGTATTAAGCTCTTCTCAATGCAGAGCTGTGCAGAGGGGATTGACTATATTTCAAGATTCAACTCCATGTTTATGCATGATTGAGTTTGAATCCACTACATTCAACAGTTTCCTTTGATTTTAATTTATGCTCACCTCCCACCCGGATATCATAAACTCCTGATTTTGACATTGCAAAGGAAGACTTTTAAGTTGGGTCTACCAGATTCTTGTCCTGAATAAAGTCTGAACCAGAATCTTGTCCTAAATAAAGGGTGTGCTGGGTTCATTATAGTCATCAATATTGTGCTGTCATCTGTATTCTTATACTGTTAATTGTTTATTGTCTGGCTTGTAATATACATGTAATTATTTTAAGTTACCCTTATGACTTTTTAAAATGGCTTACTTGTCAAAATGACCTACATATTGTTGGAGTAAATGAAAGTAAGTTTAATGAATATTACTGTCATTTAGAACTGTTAATGTTGATCTATTGTGATCTAAAATCATGGCTTTTTGTCTATCAAATATATTAGTTGTCTAAATGCTAATGATCGTGATGTAAAGATTAAGACATAAGCTTTTGTGTTCTAGCTATAGGCTTTATTATAAGAATTATGTCAATTGTAACATGTTACACATTTAATGAGAATTGCAGTGCCAGTAGACACTAAGACAGTATTCACAGGCCTCTCAAATCTAGCCAAAAATTGCAATTGTCACGCAATTAGACGTGCATCTATGAATATAGGATCGGAATAGTATGCCTTATGAATCATCCTATTCTTGTTCAGTTTTTAAGGTTTTTTTTTTAATTTAAAGCCTATAATGAGCATGCACAAGGATCAAGGAATCGATGGTTAGTGATAGAATGTGGAGTTTCTTTCTGGGACATGAGACTTGTAATATCAAGACTGTCTATGACTAGAGCAGCTGTTGTAAATTCAGACAAGACATCTTCTTTTTATTGAACTACCAAAGCAATCATTCATATGCAGTTGTTTAATTGATGTAACTATGTATAAAATTAATATTTATCATGAACAATATGCAAAGAATGGTATGTGGTCTCACCAGTATCTGCTGACCGCAACATGTCGTCACAAAACAGACTGTTGCGGTAGACTATAACTTGAGATAGAAGAAGCTGAAAACATGCTTTTACAGTACTGACGCCTGTATGCAGAACCAATTTTTATAAAGTCAAACATTTTCCAATCATAACAAGCAAAGAACTCTTTAGAATGCACCAAATTGGCCAGAATTTAATCAAATAAATGAAACTCTGCCATACTCACCCAACGGTAATCCCTTTTCATTAGTTCATACATGTAGGCAATCTTATTAAAGGGCCAATCCCGATAATTTTTTGGAGAATAAAACTTCCTAATTTTGTGTTAAAATCCCTTAAAATCCTCAACCTAAGGGCAACTAACTCAATATTTATGATATGTTTTCAAACAACTTAAACCTGTCAGTCTTCATCTGGAAATGGAGACCGGTGTCCCAAGCTGTATTAGGCGGTGTCTGGATAAAACCAGACTTTTATTTTATAAAAATAATGAGTAGGTGAAATTTACCTTTCGTTAGCAAGTACAGCACATGGTTCATTCACTGTATAGACCTCTAACGGAACGGGGATCTATTATCAGGTCACCCAATGAAAAAATTTACCCGAAATCATAAAAGAGTTACATGTCTGGATAAGCAGTTGTGAACTAGAATTTTGAGACAAGGTAAATATACCATTCCTCTATACATGTACTTTGGCGCTTAAATTTTATACGTACATGTACTCCGACATTTATTTTTGAGACTCTGTTCAAAACTTTTTATCATCCCAGACTCAGACTGACAGGTCTGTATGTGTACATAATTTGTTAGTCACTTGAAAAGTGGTTTCAAATTTCATCATTAATGACTGAAGTCCACCAGTTATCAAGTACACAAATTTACTTTAATATTTTAGAACACATAATAATGTCTATGCCATGATATAGTTTGACAGAAAGATTTTTAAAGCCCTTTACAGTTGGAATTTGGTAGATAGTATTAAGAAATGCTGCTGGTCGGGCAAAATTCAACTTATTTATGCACACATGGTAATGGAAAAAATTACCTATATATATTTTTGACTAATGATACTTTAATGGCAAAAACTTTGATTTGGAAATACATTATTCAATGTATAGTTGAGTTTTAAGTGAGAAAATATCTGCACATTTTAACAGCATTATTTTATTCAATAGACCACATGTAAATGTGTCGGCCTTAACATGACTAACACACGTTTATAAGTTATTAGTAATTAATATACAACACGTCTGCCGTCCGCCGTTGTCAAACTATCTCTAGATCAATGAAACATCTAGTAACTCGTATTGATGCGAACATTCAGAACCGTTTAGCTTGAAAAATACAAAACCATGAATATTGGTTTTCATGGCAACATCTGGCTCTATGGTCCTATGAATATGCAATTTGTAATTTTACATCTATTCCCTTATTTCCATGTTAATAGAGCCATCTAACCGCCAGAGTTAAGAAGAGGGTAGCAAATCTCTAGGGACTGCTGATAATTGACGTCCAAAGTTTTCGCTGAATAGATTGAGTATTGTAGATGAAGACTTCAGTATATTGACTGCATTTTGCTCTCACTTGTAATTGACTCAATCAGAGCATCAAGAGAATTGCACAGGCAAAAAAAATTAGAAGTTGGTGGAACTTTTTTGTCTAAATACTGATATCGCCTGCTGACTTTTAAATTGTTCTCAATAATCTCTTAACGAAACTGGATTCATGTGGCTTCCACTCCGGCTTCCGGCCCCTGTTATGGTAAATATATTGTACTTTACATATTTATCATCAATGTTTGAGGAGGTATTATTTATTTTTTTTAAATTTTGCTGATCATTTATCTGTTTTTCATATTAAATATTTGCAATTCACCATATTGTAATCAATTACAGCTATTTTCTTATTGAGAGATGATTATGATTTCAATTTTGTCATTTATTTAAATGTGAAAAAAGATAGTATTTAAGGCAGTGTCTGTTTTTTTTTTCTTGTGTTGAAGAAGGAATGATACGTAATAAGATGCTATGTTAAATCCGTCCAAACTACTATTGTGATATATACATGTACTACTGTACATTTAATAGGAAGAAAAGGATGACTGATTCTCAAACTCAGACTTCTTTGAGAAAATAACTAGAATATTTTATGTTGGTTAACAATATACCCAAGCACAAGTTCGTTTTCATTTAAAGTTCGGAAATCACATGACTTCATTAAATTGTTGATTTCCTGTTAACCTTATAGACTACAAGTATTTAGCATTCTAATTCTATTGTCGTAATCATGTTAATGTGCTATGACTATGAATAATTTCATTCTTCATGAGAGATGAAAAACGCCCTACTTTTAAATGTCGTGGTGAGTGAAGTTTAGTTTAAAGCTTATTACTTCTTTTAATTTTAAACAATTTCTGAAATTTGCATTCTATAGTTTGGTAACCTGAAATATCCTGAAATTTGAAAACTACATTAAAACTAGAACTAAAGAGAGTAGGACATGTGGCTTTCTGATATTCAAATATCTACATCTGGTAGTTGTAGGGGATTTTTTTTTAACCAGGAACTGGTCGCATAGCAGCAGTTTTAGTCTTGTACCTCTTTGGCCGACACTCTCAAAAAAAAAAAAAAGCCTAAAAGACTGCCAATTCAAGTACGAACGACAGGAATCTTGGCATGCTTGTTCTTTGGACAATTAGAGCACCCA